GCTGTCAGCAAATTAAATACATGAAATCTAAGAGTTTGCAATAAAAATGATGAGGTCAATTTCCAAAAGGTGAAGAAAAGCTATTAAATTATGAATACAATTTTCAAATTGCATAGAGTTAACGGCGTTTGTTATATTGTAGATTCAATCTGACTACCTGGGAAAAACCACCATAAAACGATGATTTTGAAGTCAAACTAAAAATTATTAGCTCTTAAAAGTCTAACTATAGTTTACGTCAAAATTTTACTAAGCCACGAAACTTTTACATAAATATTCATGACTGTTTGACAGCATGTTTATAAATTAATAGAACTGCAGTTGCATATTGGTTAGGTCAAGTGAAAGAAAGTTGACTTCCCTTACTTATTTAAAAAACCTTATTGATTTTAAGTTCCCCATAAGCTTGGAAAGAGTTTTAAGTAATTATGACACGCTAGACAACCCTGAATTAGGTATAAACTGGAGACATTGTTTTCTACGTACCTGTCTACCTGTTTGAAATTAAATCTTGTTAAATCTTGTACTCCAATAAATTATTCAAATATTTTCAAACATAATCTGTAACGATTAAGATGGTGAAGGTTCAACGTAGTCACTTGCCGACTGATAGTGCACTGTTCTTTAAGAAAGATATTATGATATACACTTCAATTTTTGTCTTGTGAATCAGTTTTGTCAGTTTTCTAGATTACAAATTTCTAGATCAACTGTTTTACATCTACTGTTTAAGTAGCGTATAGTGATTATATATTTATATAGTATGTTCTATATAGAAAGCATTCAGTCTATTCATTCTCTTAACTCAGATCCAAGACTAGAGGTAAGCCTTTATGACTTTTTGCAAGAATACAGAACTTATATTAATCAATATCAATATCTACAACAAGAGAGTACTCTCGAGTCTTATTTAAATATTTTCGAAGAGTTGTGATGATGTAGATCCAACCTAGTTACTTGCACTGTCCCTTAAGAGCGATTTTAGGTTCTACATTTCAATTTTTTTCTTGTTTATCAAGTTTATCTACTGTTCAAGTCGCGGATAGTGATCATATATCAATAATCATCTTAAACTAAACATATAAATTAAACATACAAACTGATTAGTTAGGTTCTATAGGGAAAGCATTCAGTCTGGCCATTATTTTAACAAAGATCCCAGACTAGAGAATGAGAATTACGTAGTTGATATATATTTTATAGCAGTAAACCTTTATGATTTTCAGCAAGAATATATAACTTAGATTCATTACTATCAATATCTGCAACGACAAAGCATTCTGAATATATGGTAAATATTTCTGTTTAAAGTGGTGAGATGGAGTTGTAATGATAATAAATTTTATATATACCTAGATCTACGAATCAGACGCCACATAATTTTGGTTCCACCTGTGTAAATTGTTATCTTCTTATGAATTGAATTTGTACGGATTTTGATCTATTTACGTCTTTTAGCTTATCTAAGAAGTTTTCAAATGGCGCAGGAATTTTCGAAATTTATTTTATGATAATAAACAGGGGTTTTAGAATAAAAGTTAAGGAGATTGGAAAGGAAGATTAGCCAGGACGATTAGATAAAAATTAAAATCAGCAATCATGCCACCAAAAACTAGCGGGACACTATAGACAGCGAAAGTACCATAATCTCGCCCACATAAGGGAGTAAAGGTTTTTCCATAACCAACTCCAGAATAAAACAAAAGGAAAGGAATTTTAGTTCTTATTCGCAGATTTTCTTTATCAATTTATTTTTTCCGTAAATATCAGCGTTTAATACTTAAACTACTAACTTAACTAATGAAAAAAGAATGTAAAATGTGATTATTGCAGATTAAAAAATCTTTAATTCGATATATGGCTTAACCAGCTACGGTCGAAAAATTAAAAAAAAATATCTGAAACCTTATATATCGGAAATCTATCCATGCAAAATTTTTTCAATGTGTCGTTTGAGTTAAGCGAATCAAAACACATCCCATTTACAACTGTAGTGCTATTTAATTTACAGAATTTTTTTCTTATTTTATAATCCAGTAAAATTTTATATAGATTTAATTTCAGCGTTGAACAAGTTAAGAATTTAGTTATTTTTATCTTAAGATTTAAATCGTTTTAAGAGTAATGTAAATTTATACATACTATATGTACCAATATCTGGTATGTTCTGTATAGTGTAAGATATAAACAACCATATGACAATATATATTTATCTTAAGAGAAATGCACTTCTGAAATCAATACTGTGCTATGTATGTATGTTAAATTTATTTATTAATTTATTCCTCTAAATTAATTTCATCCAGGGTTCAGTCTATCCAATTTAAAAAGAGGCTCCTATATATGTAAGTCTATTCTATCAAAAAAAATATTGCATTAACAAAAATAGGTTTTGGTTAAAAAAAAAATTGTTAACTGTGTACATAAATACAATATATTAAGTTCCATTGAAATAATGTTATGGTGTGGTGTAGGGTATCACATTTCGATTACGTTATTTACTTGCAAATTTATTTTTATTAGAATATTTGTAAGTCGCTTTACATCTTGTGCAGTGCCTTTAACGAGATTCCAATATGCGCTTGGAAGCATTTTTATTATTAACGCTGTGCTTAATTTTTGAATTGGTGAAGATCCCAGCAATGGACGATTGCATCTTGTTGTCATTGTACAATCATTTTTAAAGCTGACCTGAAATCACATATTTTATGAGTTTAAGTGTAAAAAAGTTAATTTTATGTGCACTCAAATTTGTACAATAAAACTTAATTTAAGTGCATAAGCGTGTCAATTATATATTTATTTTATGTGTATATAAATATCTATTTATTGTTTAGTTGTAAATAAGTATTTATGTGTAATAGTATGTGAGCTTGAACCATAAAGAAATATCGTACATATAGCGGAAGAAAGAATTGGACTGCACATCAGATACGCATTGTTATCGCTACTTGACATATACGTGTCAATTTTATCATCCAAATGCTTTATGCTTAAAATTGAATTAAAATTGAAAGAAGTGTGAAAATTGTTAATAAATTGCACTTCACATTAATATTTTGCATATAATCATTTGATAATTATTCATAGTTCTCATCTTGACACACAATTTATTTTCACACTCTTTTATATTTTTATATTTATATTTATAACATACGAGTATATAGTTTTAAAGGCACAATATTTATTGCAAATAGTAGTTATAGTAAACGAAAAGCGAATTATGAAGTTTATAGCAAGGAAATTGTTTTAGACATATCAGTTGTTATATAGTCCATTAATTCATTAATCCATCCATTAATCATTGTTATGTTTAATATTGTAATTATACAAGAGAGTTTTATTCGTCATTTGATTTCCACCTGAAACCAATCAAGAGAAAATTTAAGATCTAAAATTTTTCCATGAGAATTAATTCTTAACTGAAGCTCAAACACCGCTGTCACACTCCAACAGCCGACAGAAGGCTACTTAGAAGGCTTACTTAAATGTTTATCTGATATTCCAAAACGATGTCCAAATTTTATCCAAATCTTTATCCAAATTTGAAGTAGTGTATTGTTTAACCTTAGTATGCTAACACAATGTGTATACTTCTTACGGATAAGTGAGTTCCATAAACTTTAAGCAGTTATCGATCTTATCCAGACAATGCAATTTCCATTACTCCCATTAGTTCCCGATAAAAATATTTATACTTAAGTTCCTTATAGTAAATTCTTAATAATGATTTATGTACATACAGCAGTTTTTTTAATTCTCCAATAATGATCATGCATATATTATAAGTAAATATACGATAACTGATGGCTTAAGAATGGGTTGCTGTGGTCTTAGCTTCCTACAAATCTTTCCATCGATTATAAATGCGATTACTTATGTTTTTTGTCCGTACTACTCTTATATTAATACTCTAACAATGATTTAGCATATATTGTTTTAGCTTCCTTCAAATCTCTTCACCGATCATAATTGTGAGTACTTATGTTTTCTATAAATACTATACTTATATTAACTTTCTAACAATGATCTAGCATATATTGTGGGCAAATTTATGATAATGCAGACTTGGCTTCATTCAAATCTTTTCGCCGATTATGTTTGTAAGTAGATATTAACTAGTTGAACGCTCATATGGTTCAACTAATATTCTACTGTTGTCTTTTATAAAATCTGTCACAAAGTATTTTCCGAAAAGTTTACTATTTGTCTATAAAAGTTATATGTCTTGCCCGTTAGAATCGGTATGCCCTTTTCTCATCTTTAGGGTCAATAGCTTTCTGTATAACTTTTCTCTCGAATGTTGCTAAGAAATACCAGTACTTTTTATTCAGCAGTCAAGTTTTGGATTCACACATAAGTTATAGGAAGACTATACTCAACTGAAACAGTATCTAAAAGAGAATGGCAAGGTTTCAGGCTTTAAATAGACTTTAAGGTTGGTGCAACTGGGTAGATTAAGGATAAAAGTAGCTTTCTAATGCATTACATATGCCCATATATATAGAGATCACCATAGAGATTAACTTTTTCTAAAATATATTGCCAAAACAATCATATATTTTGCTAAATACCTTTGAATAATAGAATTTATCTTAAAATTACTAGACTTCACTATTATATTTGCATCTCTATTACTCTTTTACTGTGTTGCATCTTTCAAAGTTTTTTTAAAAATATATCCATATTTTTTACGTTTACTTACGCATAAATCGCAATACACATTATTAAAGGTACAGATTTGCGAGATTTAAGTATATATTATAACTTAACAATGTTGTAGAATGCTTATTTGCCTAGAGCAGCTACAGATTTATCATTTAAAATTAAAAGCCAAATTAATATGCTAATACATCATTTAGATAATATCAAACAACTTAAGATACAAAAATATTAATTCATTTGCTGTACATATATTTTTTTAACATGCTGTGTACTTAAATATCTAAAAAGACACTATTAAAATATTATTATTTTTATTTAATTATTTATTCAATCAGGTATTATCTACTTACGATCTCATTTAAATAAATATCTATCTGTTGACACCTTTGGCAATGTGCTATGTGAAAGCGAGGAACGTGATGCTGGTAGCCGATTTCAGATTAGCATCAGTGAAGATGGTACTGGTCGTTGGGCATTGAAAAATGAATCACGTGGTTATTTTTTGGGTGGTACTCCCGATAAATTGGTGTGCACTGCTAAAACTCCAAGTGCCACTGAATTTTGGACAGTACATTTAGCTGCCAGGCCACAAGTTAATTTACGTTCAATCGGACGTAAACGTTTTGCGCATCTTTCAGAATCTCAAGATGAAATACATGTCGATGCCAATATACCTTGGGGTGAAGATACGCTCTTTACACTCGAATTTCGCGCTGAAGAAGGTGGACGTTATGCTTTGCATACTTGTAACAACAAGTGAGTATAAGTAATAATTTTATTAAAACAAATACTAGAAAATGATTTATTTAAAAAATATTTTAAAAAAATTGATTAATGCTAATTGAATATTATTAAATCGCCAACACGTGTTTTTTTTAATGAGCAAATTAATTAGCAAATTAATTAATTATATTTCTATTTCTATTATATATGTGTATGCATTTATTAAATTAATGTGATTCCATTTTATTTCTGTAGGTATTTAAACGCCAATGGAAAGTTGCAAACGATTTGCAATGAGGATTGCCTATTTAGTGCAGAATATCATGGTGGGCATTTAGCTTTACGCGACAAGTAAGTATTTTAAATTAATTTAAAAACAACATATGAATTCTAATTTTATTTTCATAAATTCCAGACAAGGTCAATATCTTTCACCTATTGGCTCGAAAGCTGTGCTTAAGTCACGTTCTTCAACTGTTACTCGTGATGAGCTCTTCTCTTTGGAAGATTCCTTACCACAGGCATCTTTTATTGCTGGTCTTAATTTACGTTATGTATCTGTTAAACAAGGCGTTGATGTCACTGCCAATCAGGATGAAGTTGCAGAAAATGAAACATTCCAATTGGAATTTGATTGGTCTGCTCATCGATGGGCTTTACGCACAACTCAAGATCGTTATTGGTGTCTGTCGACTGGTGGTGGTATACAGGCAACTGGAAATCGTCGTTGTGCTGATGCATTATTTGAACTTATATGGCATGGAGATGGTTCACTATCATTCAGAGCAAATAATGGCAAATTTTTAGCTACTAAGCGTTCTGGACATTTGTTTGCTACATCCGAGACAATTGAAGAAATAACAAAATTCTATTTTTATTTAATTAACAGGTAAGAATGATGTATTATTTGTGTTGGATCTTTGTACTCAAGAAGTATTAACTGTTTCGATATACGTATAATACCAGTTAAATTCAAGCAAAATGTATTTTTTAATTATCTCTTTTATGTTAATTAATAATCTGAATATTACATTGGTTAAAAGTGATTCAAAATTAATTTCAAAGATTCGGTTCCGAATCGGATACGAATATACGTTTTTCTTAATACCAAGTTTAATAATAAAATCAGTTTTTATGACATAACATAGATCTAGATCTAAGCAGAACTTCCTTATTAATACAAGTAAAAAGTTTTATTAATTTAAAAATATATGTATTTATAACACGAGCACATTTCAAAGAAATTTTTTGTTACTTCATATAACATATTAAACAAAATAAAAGGTGACCGTGTTGAGTGCATAGTTAGGTTAGGTTGGATTAGCGGACTTGTGTCCAAAGCCCACTTGAGCTCAAAAAAAGGTTCCTTATGTGAGTGCAGCATATTAGACACTACCAAATAAAAATATTATTAATAATACAAAACCTATGATAACTCAATTTTTTTAATATACATATATATTATTACGAGTACCACAAAAGTAAATGGCGTTTTAAATTAATTTTTAGGCCAATTTTAGTACTTAAATGTGAGCAAGGATTTGTTGGCTATCGCACACCCGGCAACTTGAAGCTGGAGTGCAATAAAGCAACGTATGAAACTATTTTAGTAGAACGCGCTCAGAAAGGTCTTGTACACTTGAAGGCCCATAGTGGTAAATATTGGCGCATAGACGGTGACGGCATATCAGTCGATTTAGACGCACCTGCTGATGGTTTCTACTTGGAACTTAGAGAACCAACTAGAATTTGTATTAGGTAAGAAATTACTAAAATGAAGATAAAAAAAAAAACTTAGTATGATTTAACCGCTTTTGATTTTAGATCGCAAAATGGCAAATATTTGGGAGCAACTAAAAATGGTGCATTTAAACTACTTGACGATGGCAGTGAATCTTCTGCAATTCAATGGGAATTTTAAGTAAATGCATTAATTTGCAAAAGTGCTGAATTCATGCACTAAATTGATAACGGAAAAGTTAAGATGAATAAATAAATTTGTGGAATGTTGCAATGACGATGTTGAAAAAAAAAACAAAAATGTTTTGTTTTATATTCTTTTTACATAAAAGTTAAAAATCATTTACACTTATTTATATAATTAAATATAAAAGTACATGTACACTTAACCAACAAGCAATTGACATAAGCATTTTCATATACAAAAGGCATATGTTTATACTTAATTAGTTGTGCATTAAAATTTCTAACAAAAGTCTATAACATAATATTTTTTTTAAAATAATTCATAAAGTTTATTTTTATGAAATTAAAATCTATAATAAAATATATAATAACGATTGAAAGTAAAGGTATTAAAAATTAAAACAATAACAAATCGCACAATTTAAAAAATAAAAATTTTATATAAACATATTATGTAGCTTTTTATAAATGAAAATGGTTAATTAATAATAATTAAAAACAAAATTTTGTAAATTATATAAATTTGTATATTAGGGTGCTTAATTTATAAAAATTAAACTATCACGGTTTGGTTTTTATTTAAGTCAATAATTAAATTAAATAAAAAATTGTTTTTATCACTTTTCGGGAAATTACAGTTCATTGAATATATATTGAATATTACTAATATTAATATAGTAATATTCTATATTAATAAAAAAAATAAAATGTAATAAAAGTCTTGACTAGAAAACTACACATCGATTCAATTTAGCGCCCTAATTTATTAAATATAAAAAGTACATTTGATATGCCACAAGTAAATGCCAATATATGCGAATCCTTCCGTTGCTTTTTTCTAATAAAAAGTGAGTGAAAATCTAATCTTATGTATTTAAAATAAAAAATATAATGAAAAATAATATCAATATTTATTATTAATAAAATAAAATTATTAGCGCATATATAAGCGAATTTTACAGCTTTTTAGCATTTTTAAAACTAAAAAAAAATATTTATTATTATTAAAAAAAACGTATAAGCTTAGATATTCCTATAAATTTTATATAAATAAACTTTTTTATGTAATAAGTTACTGCTAAGCATATGTATTTTATTTGTATGAATTTTACAAATAAAAGAAAAATAATATATAATTTATACGTATAAATAAAATTCACTATAAAATGTATTATATTTTAATTAAACTACATATTGGACTTTCTTTATGTACTATTGTTTAATTTTAAAATTTATTTATTTAATTAATGTTTCTTATCTTTTGCAATTTTAAATAAAAGCTAGCATTATAACTTTTCTAGATTTTTAATATCGTTTTTATAATTTTTATTATGTTTTGTATGAGTATTCATAAAATTATAATTTTATTTTAATTATAATCATAAATATAAACAAAAACATATGTAAAACTAAATAATATCATTACCAATAAAGAATTATAATAAAAAATTAATCTATTGCTTGAAGTTTATATGGATAATACATACTACATATTTATATATTTAAACTCAATTATTTAAACATAAATATAAACTCTATGTTCTTTTTATTTATTTTTTTTTTTTTGTTACGAGTATAATTTTTAAAACTAAAAATTATTTGGCGTGACAATTTGCTATAATATTTAAAATACTTTCAATTTAATTGAAATATCGAATATTCTTTTTCCGATATTTTATGTACATGAGTAATTGCAGTATTTATAGGCTTTTTTATAGAAAGTCCAAAGAGTTGGTATGCTAAGTTTTAGAGAATATTTTAGATTAGCCCGGGCTTAGATTAGTTGGGCTTCAATTCCCAGATATACTTTTTATTTAGTCATGCATTAGATTTACAGCGTTAGTATAAAACTGTTTCTTTTCGTTGAAACTAGACATCTAAACCAAAAAAAAAAAATTCCTATGACTTGAATAGAAAAAATTAAACTAAAATTTTACTTACTAAAACCCTCACGCCCCATATCACACTTATATGAATAATTAAATAAATAAGTGAATCTCTTCAACAAATATCCTTTCTGTCTATCGTTGGTTAGATTTGGTAAATCCATTGATTCTAAAACAAAACTTAAGAAATCGAACAAAAGGAGTTTATGTAGTTTAATGAATATTTTAATGAAGCAAATTATATGATCGTATTTCTTTTGTGGAGTCCCATTGAAAGAGAAATACGATCATCTCCGCCTGGATCCAGGATGACAGTTTATATATACCTCCTTCTCAACTCTTCCACATCCTTTTTTCCCCTTCACCTTCTTTAACCCCCCCCCAACTTTCATCCTATTCCCCTACTCATGTGATCTGCTTGTGTTTCCTTTCATGTTTCTCTGCTTACAGGTCCCGGCGGGATACAACAACAACAACATCGTATTTCTATTGTGACATCGTACCTCTTTTTACGCCTTCCCCTATCTCTATGTTGTGCCACATAGTTGCAGTAATAAGATCTCTATGCCTGGAAACCCAAAATGGTAATTAATTATCCCTTGTCGAGAAGTGAACTGAACTGAGCTTGAAGATGGCAAAACAGTTTGATGAACCGATAAATAAAATCTGTTTTATAAGAAGTACATACTTTGTACGTATAAAAAATTGAGTCATTTGAAATTCAAGAAAATATACTATAGTGGTCTCTATTCCTGACTGCTGATGAATCAGGATTTTTGATTTAATATATGAAAAAAATAGTTTATATATGTTCCTTATTATTTATTTTTAATAATTTTGTTTTTTATATAAAGCTATTAAATTATTTTATATTGTAAAAATTAGTTTGTATAAATTTTTTATATTTGGAATATTTAAATTTGGAATTCATTCATTTAATTGCTTTATTGCATTTGACTTAAAGCATGAGTATAAAACTGTTTCTCTTCACCCAAACCGCGTTTAATGACATGTGGAATTTTCTTCGGCACCATACTGAAATAAAAAAATAAAAATTAAAACAAATATCACACAACAGATAAACCTCTGAAGCTACCTTATGCAATCAATTATTGGGCAGACAGAAACACATAAAGTACATCCAGTACAATCATCGGTTACATGTGGAATGTGTGTTTCAGTATCGAATTCGATGGCTTGATACCCTGAATCAGCACAAGTCATATAGCATTTTCCACAATTTATGCATAAATCCTAGAAACGAAAATAATCATATATTAATGCTAAACTATTAGATTTGCTTCATCACACTTACATCATCAATGAGCGCAACTTTTTGTAATTTATTATCCAAACTTTTGTAGCTGCCAATATGAGGAAGAGCTTTACCAATAATATCTGATATTTTAGGTACAGGTCTGACAGTGCCATTGGTACCGTTTGACACGCATGTCGTTTCCTCTAAAGACCATATTGGACCTTTGTCTTTACGTATATTATCTAATTGTTTTTCACGTGCATTTTGGTATGGTCCAAAGAATCCCAAAGACTGTAAGTACAAAAATAGCATTTTGAAACAAATCGAGTACAATATTTACAAACTTGTTACCTTATTGCCTTCACCAGTTAAATGCAAGACAGGTTTGCCTTTTTGATGTTTTAGTGTTGGTGGTGATTGACCATCCCAGAATTGTGGATTTTGTGGAGGTGGATTAGCTTTAAGATACAGTAAAGCTTTCAAGCTAGTACAATAATCTTCAATCAATGTAAAGTCCTGGTTTTGCACAGAAGAACAAACTTGAAGTACTGTAGCACCGGCTTGTAGAAATTGCAAAGCTACTTCGCCAGAATCGATTCCTCCAATACCAAGTATCGGGAAACCTGGTAATTTATTTCCAATTGAAGATATAGCACGCAACGCCATAGGACGTGTAGCATTACCAGAGACACCACCATATGTTGTACGTTTATCGCTACCGACAGCAGGCCAAGGTGAAGCATCTGCTTTAAGACTCATTAGTCCTTGAACGGTATTAATAGCAGAAACACCATCTGCATTACCGCGTTGAGCTGCCATAGCAATGGATACAATATCAGTTATATTCGGTGTAAGTTTAACAAAGAATGGTATCTTCACAGCTTTGCGCACCCATAATGATATATTTTCTACTAGTACAGGATCCTGTCCACAAGCCAAGCCCATACCTGATTCGCCCATACCATGTGGACATGATAAATTCAGTTCTAGTGCATCAGAGCCACATTCTTCTGCTTTGATGGCTAATTCAACCCAATCTTTTTCATTGTATGAACACATAATGCTGGCAATAATAATTTTTTCAGGAAAATCTTTCTTCAGCTCTTTAATTGAACGGAACCAATATTCTGCTCGTTTTTCTGAAATTAGTTCAATATTTAAGAACGAGCCTTGCTGTGGTCCGTAATTGTAGCCAGATGTAGTGCCACGTACAATACGTGGTGATACATTTGTAACAAGATCCTTGTCTAAGCCAAATGTTTTTGTTACAACGAAACCCCAGCCTTGTTCAAATGCACGACGAATCATCGCTGAACTGGTAGTTGGTGGTGCTGAAGCTAAACCAAAAGGATTTTCAAATTTTATACCACATAGTTCTACCGATAAATCGACGTTGTCAATCTCTGTATAAAAGAGTGGTAAATCGGCTGGTGTGTCTAAAGGCAAGCCTTGTAAATAACAATGCATGCTCCAAGCAGCAATTTTGCCATCATTTACGGACTCGACTGTAGTATCGGCAGTACCTGCTAAATCACCGCCACAAAAAACTTGTGCTGCAGTACTTTGTAGTGTTTTTGCATTTATTTTGGGTAAATTCCATTTATCAAGTTCAATCGGAGACATAGCATCAATAACATCAGTTTCATAGAGACCTGAACCAAAAGCGGATATGACAAAATTTGCTTTAAGGGAAGTAGTTTGATCTTCATCTTCAATCCATTTATCATTTTCATCTTGCTCTGTGCGACAAAATTCCATTCCAGTAATCTGCGTAAAATAAAATATAATATTATTAATATAACAAGAACAAAATATCATATAATTTTATACCCTATTATCCTTCACAAGAACTTTTCGTGGTGATAAATAAGGTAGGAATTCACATTTCTCATCACGTGCTAATTCAACTTCCTCTGGTACAGCGCGTATACCAGAACTGCCTTTACGGAAAACAACGAAAACACGTTTGGCTCCACAACGTAAAGCAGAGGTGGCGCAATCAAATGCCGTATCACCAGCTCCTAGTACAATAACATTGCCATAAATTTGTGGTAAAGCTTGACTGGCTTTACAGGCACAAAGTCCTGGTTTTGAACCATCTGCCACTTTTGGCAGGAAGCTCTTTGATGTATAAAAACCCATCGATTCATTTAAGCCTTTAAATATAGGATCAACTTTTGGTTCCGGCAATCCAATTCCTAGAAAGATGGCATCATGACCGGATTCAAGTAGGCCCTGGAATTAAAGATGAATTTACAAGAATTGTTTGTAATATTTTTAATCATACTTACATTAATAGTTAAATCTTTAACGGATAAGGATCGATTCATTTCAAATTTCACACCTAAGTCTTTGACTAAAGAAATTTCAAAATTAACTACATCCACAGGTAGGCGATATTGTGGAATTTCAGCTGAACTTAATCCTCCTAAATATGAACGTTTCTCATAGATGGTTATGTCTTTGTAACCCAAACGACCCAAGAAAGTTGCACAAGATAGTGAAGCCGGTCCACCTCCCAATAATGCAATTCTTTTATTTGGAGCATCCAATGGCTTAACGTTGGGTGATACAATTTGATGTACTCCCATTTGCTTGAAAACCTCTGTCGCATAATGTTGCAAGCCACCTATGTAATGTATATTAAAATATTTTCAAATAAATAATTTTAGTCTTTTATTCTTTTTATTATTATATTATATAATTATTAATTTTTACTTGTGACTAGTTATGTTTGTTTAATATTTTAAATTTTTATATAAATGCTGTATATGTATATAATAGTTTTACTCACCAATGTTAATAGGTCCTTCTTCTGAGGCTTGTAAATTGCAGCCACCAACACATAAATCGCTCGTTGGACATACCATACCGCAAGTTAACCCCAATGGGTTATCGGAGAAAATGGCCTTTGCTGCGCCATAGTAATTCTTATTGGCAATGCTTGTTATGAAACTTTTAATATCCAATTGAGTAGGACATGACTTTTGACATGGTGCATCTGCACATTTTAGACAACGAGCAGCTTCCTTTAAGGCACCTCGTTCAGATAAAGTTGTATGCTTGATATCTTCAAAGTTGTTCTTGAGTTTAGGCCCAGACTGAAAGTATTTGAATAGTGTCTCATGAGTCATATTTTTAACATATGATGATGATTTCCTTTAACTTCTATTGGAGCATATGACCCCCTTTATATATATTTATTTTATATATTTTTTTTTAATTTTACATTTTTTTTATATATATGCACCCATATGTGTTAATTAATAGCCGATACTAGAGTTTTTAAAAATTTTTACTGAACTGGATTATATCTTTTTATAGTGAAAAAGTCAAACTGAGCTATAACTTTAATATAATTTATAAAAGAAATTGTTATTTGAAGATATCCCATCTGCTAATATTGACATCATGTAAGAAGTAATATAATAGAACATATGGTTGCATTTTAGTAAACTCAAATAAATGTAGTTAAAAAACCTATTTCAATATAAGATAATTAAAATCTATTTCATTATAACATTGTAGAAAAATATTAATTTAATAGCTGGTTTGTTACGGATACATATGGAGAAGCAAAAATATGTTAAGAGGACATCATCTATACTGTATGTCAGTCTGCATATGATAAATATTAATCCCATGATCTTTTGCCCTATATTAGTATTATTAACTCTATGTATTATTAGTGGTGTACCTAAGTATTTTATGTATGTGTTTTACCTAAAGGGCCCATTAGACAGCAACGTTCGTTGTCAACGCGCGCTTGCCATTACACAAACAATTTTTTAACAATTTTTAAAACACGCCCCAGATAAAACAACAAATATACTAAAAAATCGCTCTCACATGAGAATTTTTTTCTCCTACTTTTCTCCTACTTTGTGAAATGCGAAATTTGTTTGTGTAATAGTAACATTTGAAATTTTAAGAAATGTGTTGACGAAAATCAAAAAATTTTGATATTTCTTCAAACATGCTCGTGTTTTTGCATATGCAGTCGGATTTGGTCGGCATGCAAAATTTTATTTATTTTGAGAAATGGAAGCGTAAACATCGTTTAAATGCACGCATGATTTGTCGTTAGCATGCAAATATGAATGAATTTAATTTTAAATATTTGTATTTTCTACCTAGGTAAAATTTTTTAATTTTCAAAACGTTTTATTAAGAGGAATTAAAATATTAATAACCTTGGGCTAAAAAAAAATAACCAAACATTAAATTACAATAAAAATTTTGTTTTAAATATTAATTGCATTGTACACCTACGGAAAATTTGTTATTAAAAAATACCAAAAAAATAATTAAATTATATAAAATATAATATATATAAAAATAAATATATAAATTGAAATCATAAAAATAAATATAAATATAAATATATAAATTAAAATTATAAATTAAATGTAAAACATCATTTTTCGTAAGGAAATTACGCATAGCAGTCGCTGTCGACACTTCAGCGATTGCTTTACTACTGATGAGTGAACAAATTTTGCATTGTTTGCTGGAGGCGTGTTTAAAAAATTGTTGGTAAATTTAATGTGTAATGGAGAGAGAAGACTTCGTGTGTTTGTCAACGCGCGTTGATGTCTAAAGGCCACTTAAGTAACATTGGTTGGCTTAGGTCATGTATAGATCTGATAAATCCGTATCAAAATATATCTGACATTTTAACTACATACTGCGGTTTGTATTTATATATGCATATATCATTATATTTTATAAACTTTTAATGGTTTTTAATAATTTTAAAAGATTTAATTATAACTACACATTTTACTTACAGTACATGTTCGATCAGCGTTGCGTTTCCAATGTTTTTTATTGACCTTGGTTTCGGTAGTTGGAACAACGGTACAATTTGACTTAACCCTTGGATTAAGCTTCAATAGATTCTATAGAACATTATAAATTAATTTAATTATATTAATTTATATTATAAAAATCTTGTCATACCTCAATATCGGGAATTTCTTTGCTAAGTAAAGCCGGTGGACTCATGTTGCTCACTTGACGTATTAAAAAGAACTGAAAAATAAAATTTTCCTTTCAATACAAAGTTATTCTAATCAATTTGCATCTTATCTAAATTAATTCAAAAATTTTGAACTTAACCCTGAACCATACCAGAACTAGGAGAAACTATTATTATTTATTATATTTCATAGTTTTGAATGTGATTAAAGACGCGTGAGTGCCGTCAATGCCCCTAGTAGCGAATTATTATATTCACAAATTTATTTTTGCCGGCTTTTAGCGCATAAATAAACAAATTTAAATTAAAAAAGTAAAAACAAATATTAAACAAAAATCAGTAATCAGTAAACATATAAAAATATTTTATTTAATTTCCTATAGCATAGACTTGTTGCCGTATCAAGTAAATAATAAATTATTCTTATCTAACAATTTGAGAAGCCGTCTTAGACTGTTCTGATATCGAACAGAGCACTGCACACCTACTAAATTCGTATGCCCTATGTAGACGTAATTATTTTGGCCAGATGCCAGCTAAGACTTAGTTGTTGGTGCAGTTATACGATAAGTTTTTTATTCTTATGTTTACAATATATATTGTTATAATTTATTGAATTTGTTTGTCAAGGTTCCTGATATGCCATATCAGGTTTTTTTTATCATAATTAAGCTTATATAGAATTAAACTAAAGTAGCTGAATTAAGTGTCAGTGCTTGTTTCTTATTTTTTTCATGTTTCTTTTTGGCATAATTGTCGGATGTTGTATTGTTTTCTATCTAATCTAATCTCAAAGATCTAGATCTAATCAGTTATAATCAGTTCTTGGAAGTAGTTGTATAATATAGTGTACAAAATTGCCAAAAAATTCCACGAATGCCAATTAGAATTATCTTGCCTGAACTGAGACATTTTACCGGCAAATACAATTTTGTATATATTATAATTATTTTTAAAAATATTGTATTTAAATATATAAAAATATGTTTTTTTATAATCAACAAATGATAATTTTCGTTCTTTAATATCACAGTGTTTAAATAAAACGGAACACTATTAAAATAATTAATGTTTATTGTTAATTCAATTTTTCAGTCTACGATTTTCATTTGAATGATCAGAGCATTCAGTGTCATCTTTAAGGGTTCATCGTATAAAATACTGTTATTCCAAAATATATACAATTTAAGTGTCCAGAAAGATTGAATAGCATTTATTTAGCTTTAAAACTGAGAGACTTGCATATAAACCCATATATGGGAATGAATATATGGGCAATTTAATAAGCATACATATTTAAAAGAGTTGATCTATTGGCTTATTAAAATATATAGTTATAGTTAAATACTATATACAGTCTGTGATGTGTATCTTTATATAATAAAAATATTTTAATGATATAGTATATGATAAGAAGCTTATGTTCTATAAAGATATGACAAAATGATACAGAGAGGTTACTACAGTAATAAAAACTTATTACTGGCACAATTATACTTACGATATAAATATTGCAGTATGCTTTATTTTTATATACTTATACTTTATGCTTATATACTCTATATAAGTAAAGTTGTTAGTAATAAATAAATAAAAAATAACCGAAGAATAATTAAATATTTTTCATAATTGTTTTTTAATAATTTCTTTTAATTAAATTAATACGCATCTAATTAAAATTTATTCCACATGAATTGTTTTGAACTAACTTAAAAAATTTTATTACTAAATAGAAAATAAAAAATTATTTAAATTAAAGATTAGTACTATCAATTTTGATATTAAAAGTATTAAGAAATTTAGATAATATTTTGATTTTGAGTTACATATATTTTATATTGAAATACTATATACTGTTGCAAATTGCGAAGAGTATCTTCTCACTTAAGATAAGAACTGAGTACTGATATGATATAATTATAAAACCAAGTGTAAAATTATTAGAAAAATGAAATTTCTTTTTTATCAAATAATTTTTTATTGTAAAAAACTTAAAAGTAATTAATTACTTATTATTTTATACATAAAAGTTAGATTGTCTAGATTTTAGTTAAATTGGAGAAAAAGAATTTAGTGAGATAGAAACTGTAGTAATTAAACATGGGAGTGTATGGAAAATATGTATTTATTAAAGAGGAACAGGTAAAAATAAAATAGAATAGTTGAAGAACAACATACAAATTCCACTAATATTTATAGAATAATCTAAAAATCTATTCAAAATATACTTGACTAAAGACGCGATTAGTACTTTGACCTATACGACAAATGTTTAATAACAACAGCATACGACATCACTCCTAAGATTTTAATCAAATGATAATTATATTTTTTATATCAATAATAGTATGAGGCTTTTGAGAGCACTGAAATGATTCCAGAACTGTAATGTTGGAGATTCAGTGACGCAAATTATCAATTCTCTTTTAACACGGTAAGGAGATATAAAATCTTATCTTGGAAAACTGTAATAATTATGTTGATATATAAAAAAAATTACAAAAAGTCTTAAAAATTTAAAAGATACCAATCTTTAAAACCAACTGAATTTGTGATTTAGAATAGTAAAAAATTTAAGAAAAATATTATTTTTGCATTACTTGAGAAGGGCAAGCCAGCATTTTGCATATATATTTTTATTTGAGTAACTGTGGATATATTCATCAAAATATGGGGAAGTTATATGGAACTTAAGTTATATGGATACTTTCAACAAGTATCTAATAAATTAATATGCGGTAGAAAATTGTTTAAATAAATCAAAAGTTTAATATTGACTTATAAATTTACAAATAATTTATTGAAGTGATTTAAAATAATTTTTATAGTTAATTTGGTAAATTATAAGCAACATTTGTAATTTTTCTTTAATAGTTACTTTAACCAAGATACGGAATGAAAGTTTTAAATACCATTTGCAAAAGTTTTCTTTATTTAAAATAAAAAAAGTAACAAAACATAAAATTGTTTACTTGTATGAAAAATAATTTCTAGTTTGTGCAGCTTTACAAATTCAGTAATAATTACGACGTAATTATTTACTACATACAATACATATATTACATATTACACAACTTTTCCAATAGAAAAACCTGCAATATATTGAATTATTTTTTATTTAAATTTATTGTTTAATTGCTATTGCTAAAACGTGTTATATTTTAAAACTAATCAACAATTGTGTTACTTAAAAGATAAGAGTTTTCTCTGCAGTAAAGCATAATTTATGGGGGAAAAAAATTATTTATTATACTATTTAGAATGAAGTGATATGTTACTAGAATTAAATTAAATTGTAGGTCACAGCCTAGACCTGGAATTTTTTTTATTTCTACTATAATTTTTTTATAAGGGAATTCAATACGCAAAACGCACTACAAACACATATCACACTCACAGCAAAAATATAATTTTTTCATATCACTTTTAGCAAACAAGCAAACATAATAAATAAATTAAGTACATATTTTTCCGTATTATTGAATAAATTGAAATTTTTCTAAAAATTAAAAAAAAAAATTTTTTTTATCTAAGCTTTGAACATGTCTAATATTTTCAAATAAAATTTGCTAATATTTGCACTGTTAGATATTTTTTCAAACACATTAATATATGTACTTATACCATATTTACTTAAGAACTTAATAGATTGTGTCAATTACACTAATACACACAAACACACCTTCAGTAATTGATTAGATTATTTTAAATAATATAATATATGAAATTTTACACAATTTTAAATTGTTTAAAATCCAAGTTGGTCTTCACACTGGAAGCGCCAAAACTGAACTAAACTAAATGGCGAATTTAGCGCCAACGAAAACTTGGCTCGCATAGATTGCGTTTTAACTTCTAAATATTTAACATTAATATTTAACAGTTTGTTAACAGTGAGTTAACAGCGGAAACTGAACAGAGCGATCTTTCTAACAAACGCGGTATGTATTGCACACATTTATTATGCTCTTATGCAAAAATATTCAATTTACAAATAAAAAATTTTAATTTTTTAAATAAATTTCCAGCAATTTTATGTATCTCAATTTTTACATTCTCTGAGATGCTTTTTGTAATAAAAATAAAATTTATTAAAAATATAAACAAACGAGAAGCGTGCATATCAGCTGATATTATTTGTTTACTGATAAGAAGATAATTGCGTATTGTCACAGGTCAGTGCTACTATTTATGAATGTATTTCAAGTAAATAGAAATGAAAAGAAATATTGTTTTAAGTTATTATATATACATATAGAAATTATATGAAAACAAAAATAATAAAAATATATTTTTATGAGTGAAAAAAATAATTATTTTTTAATTATTTTATTATTTAAATTCTTTGTGAAAATTTATAATTATATTTCTTTAAATGTTTTAATAAATTTTTTAATATAATTTTGGCACACATTTTTTTTCTCACTAACTATCAAACTATCTGACTTATTTTTTTGCAAATAGAAACATGAATAAAGTGCCATAATTTGGCACTAAAATCTTGTCAATGATGTTTTGCTACGTACTAAGAATAAAAGATATACTTTTTAATTTTAAATTTGTAGATACGTCTTTTAGTGTTTAAAGTTATTTCATTACTAAAGTAAAGAATTAGTTTAAAAAATATTTAGGTATTTTCGGATTGCTCCTATATTTATTTTTATTCGGTAATCAATGGCCATGTAATACAAATGATCAAATGATCGTAGATCACTATATGGTATTTACTTCTGTTTCTGCTAAATTTGCTTATATTAAAAGCAACAACAAATATGGTGATCGACTACCATTTAATCGTCTGCACAAAATGAAACTTATAGTAAAATAATAAGAATAAATATTTTCTGAGCTAAGTTCTAGAGAACAAGTAAAAAAAAATAAGCATTAAGTAGTATTTAATATTTATATTAGTCAAAAATTTAATAATCATCAATTAATTAATTTTTAAATATTTTTATTGAATTTGGTTGGTACTTCAACAGATCAATTAACGTTGTAGTTTTGTACTCCACTAAGAGCTTCTAACCCTATATTATTGCTATTTAATAAAAAAATAAACAAAAAATGTAATCTTTGGCTTAATGGAAGCTTTAATACTCTCCACACAGAGAGATTGAGAGTTTACGAAAAGATTAGATTTGAAATACATGCATATACAGGGGGTGTCGTTTTAAAGTGTAATAACTTGTAATAAATTGTAATAACAGCTAAATGCATCAAATAAGTCTCAAATTTTAATTTTCATAAATTTATTAAAAATTAATGCGATATTTGAACATGTAGATCCAACTTTTTCAATTAAGTTGTAAATACTTACAAATACAAAAACTACAAAATATACAAAAAGTTGCTATTCATTGTTAAATGTAATTAGGTCAAAAAAAAAATATTTTTTATGCATAAAATAACAAGCACAAAAATATAACTAATTGATATGTAAATAAAGTTGCTTCCTGAAGATCTTTAAATAAACAATTGTTTCAAATTAACATACCGTCTTGTTGTTGTTTTTTTTAATTTGCTTCGCATAAGCTTTCCTAATATGACCTAAAATGTCAAAATTATCAATTCAAGGCGAATTAGAATAAGACAAAGAAGAGATTGTCAATCGTTTTTTGGCATCAACAACAACACGACGCTTAGAGTGATAAATAAAATAAAATTAAACAGAATTGAAAATATTTATTAAATTTTTTAAATTTCTATCAATTTATTGTGAATATTAATAACATATTTCAATTGGGATTTGAATAAAAATATTAGTTGCTTTTAGTAATTCAAAATTTTATTGTGATTTGCAAAAACTAAATTTGTGTGAAAGCAGAAAGTTGCACGCCATTTTAAAATTCGCGATAGAATTTATTTGGAGAGAATTGAATACATGATCGCGAAACTTTTGTTTAATTTACTTTTAAAATATACTAAAAAAATGAATGAACAACAGTCAATCAATGTTAAACGAGATTTTTCAAATGAAATAAAAATATTAGCTAAGAGATATCAAACATAAAAAATAATATTTAAAAGCGCATGTGGTGAATATAACCGTAAAAGTTGAAGCAGCGCAGCGACAGATGTTTAACATTCAGTTATATTTAACATCTTTATACAGGGTAAGTCAATACAATTTTTTTAATTATTTTTTTTTTATTTTTGTTTTTAATAAAATATAAATCAAATAAAATGTTTTTAATAATAAAAAAATAATTTTAATCATGTACATTTAATCTAATTAATCTAATTAAATTAATGTAATTAAAAAAATATTTTAATCATGTACATTTAATCTAATTAAATATTGTTAATATACTTTATATTCATATTGTTGTTTTATAGTAATAAACAAGTTAATATATAATATAATGGACATAATACAAATTTAATGTAACTATATTGAATAAGTGTTAATGTCATTCACTGATTTTGATTTCCGAAATACCGTATCACTTGAAATTATTCTTATGCGTGAAAATAAAATGTCTATTTTTAGTTAGCATTACGAATTCAATTACATTATTCATGAGTTTTTATGTATAATTTAGTTGAGTTGTATAATTTAGTAACGATATCAATTTTGTTTCCACTTGCTTCTCTTTTATAAAAGTATAAAATTCTTTTCTATTAATTCGGATTTCATAAATTACCAATTATTTAAATTTTAAATATTTTTATTTTTCTAAGTAAGAAGAAAGGTGTTTATATGTAAAATCAAATTATCAAAAAAATTTGATTCCTAAAAGATTTTAATAGACTTAAATGGCTTTGCAAATTATGATAGTTCAAAATTAAGTTTTTTTCAAAAATGTTGTTTGTATACAAAATACTAATTGAAATACTGGGACAAATCATCTTTGATTGTTCAGTTATTATGATATTAATAAGTTGAAGTCATTGGATTTTATGTATTCCAACAAAACCGTTCATGATACGTTGACAGAACTTCTGTGTGCAATGAAAATTATACTTGTTTACTTATTCCAATTGATACAGATTATTTTTTAAAGGTACTACATTTGCAAGATTCTTGTTAGATAATGGTATTTAAAGGTCTGAAGTTTTGATTAGTTTGGAAAGGCTCTCATTCATATTTCACTTTCATAAAATAAAATTGCGTTTATGTTGATATTGAATATGTTAAGTTTTGTTGTGGTGTAAATATGTCGCCGTAGTTCGATATTCAATCGCTGCTTTTTACTCCAATCGAAGAAAACAATGCAACCCCCTATTAGATGCTGATGATCTCATATTTCCGTTTATTAGTAAAGAACTTACTCACAATGTATTTCGACTATTCTGAAGACTAGAGTAATTATAATAAAGTACACATATGTTACTGATATATTTCGAACCATCTTTTCAAATAAATGGCTTTCGTTATAATTACTTTTATTATTTTATCTAGTTTAGGGATAAGCATAAGGAGCGATTTATTGTTTATTCTTATCGTTTGCCACGCTTAGCTGCGTGCGAATGGTTCTGAAAATTGATTTGATTTTTAAGAATTGAAAGTAATAAACGAACCTTTTTGAAGTCTTTTTATTTTAACTGTAACTGTGTTATTTTAACTGTAATTGTATTGTAAATTATATTTATATAATAAATGCAGTTATTTCTATTAATTAAAAACATTTTCAACAAACCAATGAAGTTAATAGAGTTCAGAGTTCATAAAGAAAAATTAATCTTGTCAGTAATAATATTAAAATTTTATTTGACCGACCATATTTTTAAATAGAATGTAATATCTTTAAAAATTTTGGCACCCTGAAAATATGCTTTATATTATAATTTATTCTATTAGCAAAATCAACAACCGGAAACAATTTACAAGGTGTGATAAATAATTGTGATAAAAATTTAAAAAAATTTCTCAATTATCCCAATTATAATTTGTCTGTCCTTAATTATTTTAAACGTAAGGCTTTTTTCGCTGAGATTAAATTTATTTTTTTTAAAGAAATGGATAATATTTTTGTTAAAGTATATTTAACTTATTAATTGTTTTCGCAAAACCAAGGAATCTAGATTCCATCTAGACTTTCCCTATTTGTGAAATTTTGTTCCCCATTCGAACATTTTCAGAGTAATTTAAAATTTTTTTAATAGTATACAAAATACAAATGTCATTTCAAACATTTTATCTTTGAAGTCATATAAAACAGTTGTTAATTTCAGAGTATTCTTGCTACTCTACCAAAATATCTAGAGTGTTATAAATTAATCTGGAGTATTATACATTTTGTTTGCGATTTACTAATCAAAAATAAAATTGTACTTAAGTTAATCTCGAGTAAAAAAATTATCCTAGATTTACCAATTGAAAACAGCATTAGTATAATATAATTATACTTATATAATTTTAATAATATAATAATATAATTAGTATAATATAAGTATTAGTATATATAAAATGATTAACAAATTTTATTTAACTACAAGACATTAGATACAATATTAACCAATTAAAACTAAACTAATTAAAAAATTCGAATATTACCTAAGACCATTGACGAAGAGTACCTAGCAGTACTCGAAACATGATCAGCCAAATTTCAATAAATTAACTTAAATATTTGTTGTTGTCTTTTTTATTTCTATTTGAACCCTTCTAACCTTTAAATAGTTTCTTGTAGTCATAAGGGGCATCACTTTCGGCAAGAAAAAATTAAAACTAAAAAAATAAACCATATTTATGATAACATATTGCAACATGAGATATGTACTTTCTAGGTTAGTACTTTTTAATAATTAATTTTGTGTTAAAATTTGATGTTTTTTTCTATAGTAAGACTATTTTGCTACAGACACTGTTATTCATTCAAACAGGTTAGTAATTTTTAGGGATCACTTCAAATAAGCTATATATCTTGTAGCTATTTAGATTTAGAAATAAACTATTTCAGATAAAAGTTTTTAATTTTTTCCGGAACAATTAATTGCTTATATAATATAAATAATGACCACTCAATTAATTCAAATTTCTTTTTTGATTATGACCCAATTATTGATAATATCGTAAAGTTTTAGATTTGATAAGTGATCTCCTGGATTTTTGTTTCTAAGCTACACATTATTATGCAATAACATTTAATTCCTAGAAACTGATCGACTTATATATATTATTTGTAGTAATTAGATTCTAAATTGTTTCGTTCCGATAACATATGTTTATGTATGTAAGATATATTGATACTGAAACGTTTAAACATTAGTTTTTTAATTATTAATACTATTTAAATATTGGAACATATATCTAAGAACTAGAATATAGAAACATGTATGTTATGTCATGATTGAGGATATTATTTTAGTTCCTGAACCTCACAATTAAACCTAATAAAAATAACAAAATATTAACTGTAAGAAAGAAATAATGCATACGTAATTTTTCGAATTTTTTTTATTAAAATCTTTTAAAATTACACATATTTTTATTACAATATATATACACAATAAAATATATAATATTAAAATAAAATATAATATTATAACACACACAGAGAAATTAAAAATTAATTTAATGATAAAATTTGTTTAAAGTTTTCGGATTTTAAAAATTCTGTAAAAAATTAAAAAAATGCGTAAATGACGAATATTTTATATTAAAAAATATATGCAAATTATTTTAAAAAAATGTACAAAAAAATTATTTAAATAAAATTGTTGCTTTTTATAAAAAAAAATGTTGCACAATCGAATAACACAGAGAAAATGTTAAGTTTTAAATTTAATTAAATTTTGTTTTTAAAGTTATTTAAAATAATTTAAGTACGTCTCCTTAAAGCCAAACGACCTTGTGGACGTTTTGGTTTGAAGTCTTCCTTTTCTTCTTGTTCTGGCTCTTCGGCACCAGCATCTTCAGGTTGTGCTTCTGCTTTTCCGGGTTTTGTGAACTTACGACGGCTCACTGTATTGAAAAGAGGAAAAAAATATAAATAAATAGTATGCTTATATAAAAATATATGTAATTTTTACAATATAAAGTAAATTAGGTTATTAGTTATTATATTTGTAATCAATAAAAGAAATAAATAATAATATATGAAATAACACATATAAGTGAAATAAATATAATTTTCTTCACGGTACTATACAAAGAACATTATTAAAATGACACCTATATTTTATTTAAAAAAAATTTTATATATATAAAATTATTTTTATATAATTTTAGTTTTAATAGTAAATAAATAATATTAACAATAAATAAATAATATTAATAATAAATAATTAATATTAATAATAAATAAATAATATTAATAATAAATAAATAATATTAATAATAAATAAATAATATTAATAATAAATAAATAATAATAATAAATTATAATAATTACGAATATTGTCAAATTGATTTACATTTCGAAATAATAACAATTTATAAAAATGTATAATGTATAAAAATATGTGATCTAATATTATTCTGAATTAGTCAATGAAAAGTTTAATTATAAAATAAATAACACCTGAATAAACTAATTTTATATTTAAATATATAAAGCATAGGTTTATAATGTAAAAGTATGCTCCATTTTCAATGGTTTATATAAAAATTTGTTATGTGGATTATATTAATACAAATAGTTTTGTATTTATAATTAAAAATTTTATATCCCAAGGCAAGTGAAAAGATTTTCAAATCTCCAAAAAATTTTTTTAATCAATAATAATTCTTGAAAAATAATAATTTATTTTTATTACTGAATTGATAATTTAATTATTATTTAATTAATGATTTTTTTACTCACATGCTGGGTTGCCTTTGAAACTTTTTGTGGGCGCTGGTGCAGGTGCTGGTGCTGATTCTTCCGCCTCACCGCCATTTTCAGCTACTTGTGTCTGTTTAATTTTTGGTACAGGCTTTTCATCTAATATATCAAAAAACGAAAATTATTTTAGTTTTGAACATTATTATTATTATAAAAATCCTTTATTTTTAACAAACCTCTGTGTTTCTTTGCATTCATTTGACGACGTTTAAGTGAATTTAAGAAATCATCGTTTGAACGGAATGGACGTATTACTGGACCGATTCTTTTTGGTGCCTCTGTGGTTGTTGTTGTAGTGCTTGAATGTGATGCCTCATCACCTTCATCGCTATATTGCTCCTCTGGATTTTCATCTGCATAATCACCATCTTGACCCTCAGCTGATGGTGGTGGTGCTGCTGTTGTTGTTGAAGTCTTAACCGCTTTACCAACAGGGCGTCTGAGTGCTATACGTTTTGCTGATGGTTCGTCCTGTGCAAAAGTTAAGCTGCAGGCTACGGCAAAAATTACAAAAAGCAGGGCACTGTAAAATAAAAAGAATAAAATTATTATTAATTTTATTATTAAATATTATATTAGTTTTTTATTATTTATTCTTGCTATTTGCTTTATTTGCTAACACTTTTTTTAAATAAGATCACAAAGTATTTGCAATGCAGGTTGTAAAAAGCCTGAGCTCTTGGTCTTTTAGTAATTTACAAAGGCTTAATTACAATTAAATTACCAATAAACACTGGTTAAAAATGAATTGTTAATTTTAAAAATATAATTTAAATATTAATTTAATGAGAACAAAATTGCTAATTCTGTTGTAAAAAATATACAATATCTTATCATATTTATAAGATAATGAAATAAAATATACTATGTTCATTACAAGATGTAGCTATCAAAATTCAAGAACATAAAAGTCAGTAATGTAATAATAGTATAGGAATATAATGTTATATACTTAACTCTTACATCCCAATAGAGAATATTGGGATCAAAAAACTGGCCTATAATATAACTCTAAAAGCTTTGAAACTAGTGATACAAGAAAATTTGAGTGTAAAAAATGCTTTATTTGCAAGTAATCAGATGTCAACAACTTTATGGCTGTGTTTCTTATAGCAACGCTACTCCATCCATGGACCATCAAAATATTATAATGAGATGTATGTTAAAAAGTTATTGACTTGAGATTCAAGACTGTGCAAAAGAATAGAGCGTTAAATTTCATTTATACTTCTGTAAATTCACCTGAATAACTTATTATAAAAATTCTATGAAGCTCTTTTTCCAGTGAATCACCCAAGTGGAAAATTTTGTTATAGCGGATCAATCAAGTAGACAATCTTGTTAAAGTGGATCATTCAAATGAACACTCTTGTAATAGTGGATCACCCAAGTGAACATTCTTATTACAGCTGATCACCTATTTTATTACAATAGATCACCTAAGTGTTCAACCTTGTTACACTGAATCACCCAAGTGGTTACAGACACTATTGAGTGCTGCAGACACTAACTAGGAATAATAATATGAGTTAGTTTAATAAGTATAGAAAATTTTTAAATTAAAGTAATTAATATTCTTCAAACAATTTTATAAATATTGTAGGCTTTATAATTTAATTCACTGTGTACAGATAAAAGTCATCATATAATATTATAAAGGGTCCAATAGCTTTTTTAAATCACTGTTTAAAAATAAAATATCATATTATCATATACAGGATCCAATAACTGTTTAAATGCGGTGTAAAATATAAATCCAAGTTATGAAGCTAATTCTTCGTAATTTACTTAAATTCTAACATTTAGTAATCATTCAAAGGCCTAAATCAAATCTAATATCAATGTCTGAGAATGAAAAGTAATATTATATATTTTTAATATATTTATTATAGTCATGTTGGTCTACACGAACTGTTCCACATGTTTTCTTTAATAAACGTGCTTATTTATTCTTATGAATATTTATGAAATTATTTTTTAAACCCACTAAACCAAAAACCAGAATAATTAAGAATTAATAAAAAAATGAAAAAAAAAACAACTTGTAAAATCTTGTACCGGCTTCTTTATTGTTAGGTGCTAAAATAGATGACGTTGATGTTGGATATTACGTTAAAAATGTTTAAAGTGAAAGTTCAATTGCCAGTGAAGGACGCTGCTGGCAGCATAACAAAATCGGCTAAAATTAATTTTACGTATACGCCACGTTGTGCACAAATGTTCTCTGCTGTAAGCGGTCGGTCGTTTGGGTTGTGTGTTTCGGTTTGATTGGGTTTCTAAGCCAGCCGCCAACAACTGCTTCACTAAAACAAGTGCTTATGCAAAACAAACCAGTTCCATAGAATTTAAATGAAATTCGAATATTGACTATTGAAGCACATGATCCATGCCATACTATTCGAGATTAACAAATGTGCGAATAATAGCGGTAAAATATGCACATTCAATATGATACAATATTATTATTAATAATGGATTTATTTTCATTTTTTTTTATTTGCATATTACAGTATGCATTCCAATAAATTCAATACTAAATTCATTTATTTATTATTTAATACAATTATTTGCTCTGACAGACGTTGAGGTTACAATGCATTAAATTGTTTAATAATCGAAAGTAAAGTCGCTTATACTCGTACAAATGTGAGGGTTCAGTTAACATATTTGTAATTTAAATTTCATACTTATTTTGTAATACATTTATTTTGTAATTACAGAATAGGAAAACTTTAATTTTAATTAATTATTTATTTCATTTTTTTTATTATTTAATTATTCTTTATTTAATACAGTAAAGAAGTACATATAAATAAAGTTGCGAAATGAACGGATATAAAGAATATATTGCCTAAATGAATAATTGCCAAGAGAGCGGTTAAAAAACTAAATTCTTTATCAATAACTTAAAGTTTAAATAATTTAAACTTAAATTAATATAACTTATTTATTTTATTTTTAAAGAATTTAAAAAAGTTCTCAATTTAAATTAAAATTATTTACGAATAATGAAATTCAAGACCACTGATGATGGGTATTTGGCAATACTCGAAACAGCTGTATGGTTAGCCAAAAATTAAATTAATGAAAATAATATAAAATGCATTTTAGTTGTTGTAGTTCACTACTGTTCGAAAAAAACCTATTTTTATAATAAATACACTTCATGTACTGGTAAAAAAATGGTGGTTGTTAATTCAAATCTTTTTCATTGTTATTCTGCAATTATATGAAATCAAAAACAAATTTCAAACCAAAGGAGTTCTGGCTCTATGCGCAACTTCACTTTAAACAAAATGTAATGAAGTTTAAAATTTAAAATAAATTTATTCAAATTTAAAATTTAAATTTTTTGGAATATATGTGATAGTATTCAAATCTCTTAGAAAAATATCTCTTTACTTCCTTTTACGTACTATCTAATAATTAGGTGGCAATGCCAAAACTAGGATGTATTATATTCTCATAAAAAAAATGCCTCAAAAATGAGTATATTAGTACTAGTGTTAATAAATTGGTAAGCCTGCACACAAGCTAAAGAATTCATGCCCAATCGATCAAAAAAAGTCAAAAAAAGCTTCTAATGTTGAACAGAAATGGTATCCGACCTGTCACAGGGTTTCTCACTGGACATTGAAGTGTAAAAAAGTATCTTTCGAATCTAGACATTACAAGAGACGATAGCTGCAAACTTTGTTACGAAGAACGGAATAAGGCAACAGCTCTACAAAGGACATAATGTGCGTTTTTTACTGCCACTCGTTAATAGTTAAGCTATTTGAAACTAAAAAAATGCCTGTATAAAGCACTTCATTGCAATATAATTTATTTTATGTTACCAAAGTTATATCAATGCATTACTATAAATATAAAGAAATGGACGTACAAGTCTGTGTAATGATATAATTAATATGAAATACATTTATTTAAAGTAAAATCATATTATACTATGGATTAACCCCATTGGGAATAATGTAGAACTCGCATGCCTCTTTCTTTACGTCCATGAATATGTATAAATTTATAGATATGTATTGGGGTAACTGTTACTTTTAAATATATTTGGGTTTAAGTTAACACTCAGATAGTGTTATTGTTTGAAAACTGAAAGAAGTTTTGAATATTGAGTCTTAGATGAATAAAATATTGTTGAAGGGTCGCTTATAGAGTCTAAAGTTTGGGAAATTTTATTTTGTCACATTTTTAAATTTTTTGAATTCACACGCATGATTTATTATCCTACTAATATTAATGTTTAGTATTCTGGCTTTCTTTTAATAAAAAATCATTACGGTTGGTTAGGAAATAACTAAGTTTTTAACAATATAGCGTATTATTTTCAAATGTAATAGAAATATTTAATTGGTGAGAGAAAATATGTGTATTTGAAGAGTTTTTTAAAAAAAACTTCTTGGTTTTAATGGAAATAGTATCTATTTGAATAAACAATTTGAAGATAATTCAATAATATTAGTTGTCTTCAAAAGTTTCATATACATTTTGGAAATTTTAGTTATGGTCTGTTTGGAAGGATATTGTTTTTTCAGTAGCATGACGGAGAAAGCGAAGACCAAATGGTTTATCAAGCTATTTATAATAAAAGCCAGAGTTAATGTAGCTTGCTTGCCCTCATTCCCTTAAGGGTATAACAATGGATAATTAATATTCATATAGAACATGCTCATTAAAGTCCCCTCGTTTGGAATGGAAATAGTATATAGTGTTTTCAGTAGTTTGAAAGAGAAAATGAAATTAATTTTATTAGATCTACTTAACTTTTTCTGGAAGATTATATGGTTTAAAAAAATATTACACACCGAGTTATAATGGAACTCATGGTTAGTTGGCTGTCCTGGCAGCTTTAAGGGCATTATAATGGGTCATAAATGTTCATAAATTTTATATTTTATTTATTTTAATACGTATCCTCTCAACCTAATTAAATCGATTATAATCCTCTTTTTAGTTTAAGTCTATTCTGAGAAATTATAAGTTTAATTCATTTTGACTGACCTAAGGGCATTATTATTCATTGGATATATCTATTCATTGATCTTATTACTTCGTTATATGTTAAATGTTATGCAATTTAATTTCTTTTGAAAATTTATTTGCTTTTTTATTTGCAATAAAAGAGTTCAAATCAATAAAAAGACCGCTCCTTTCCTCAACACTTCGTACGTGTGATTCATTTAAAAATAAAAACAAAACATGAAATTGATTTTTTTTTGTGATAATTGTTAACATAATTACAAAATATATGTATAAAACATTTCGAATGAAGTAATTTTAAAATCATTTTTGGTAATTCAGTGAACGTTTGACATGAAATAAATGGAAAAAAAAAAATTGAAATATTTTATTTATATAAATATAAAAATAGATAAAGTGAAAAAAAGTTACTTTTGTTATTATAAAATAAGTAACGAACAATTTGTATGCTCAATAAGTGCACAAAAGCATTAAACTGAGCAATTATATAAAAACTAAATTTAATAAAAAATAAAATTTATATGTTATAGA